ACAATACATTTGGTCTTTTGTTAATTGTTTATAGGTTATGTTAGTTTGTGTCAATAATACGTCTGTTCTTCATGATTTTATTAATCGATGATTGTTTATTTATATATGTTTTTGTTGTTGTTTACAGGTCAAAGATTCATGAACTGACATGGAATAAAGGTAAGATGTTCGATTGACATTGTCAAATAAGTTGTTATTTTGATTCATTCTTCTGAACTGTAAGTATATCTTCTAACTATTTTAATACGAAATTGTAAGTATATCTCCTAACTATTTTAACGATTATTATTTGATTGAATGATTGTTTTTGTTCAGTCAATCTATTTGAATGATTAATTGTGTTAATCCTGTCGAACGGTAAGTGTATTCCTTAAAAATTTTAATATGAAGATTAATTAACTTTTGTTGATTTCGTTTTCATGTAATAGTTGTATACAAATGAATAATTGTTCCTTAACAATCTTAACATGAACATCGATTAAATTTTGTTGTGTTTGTTTTCAAGGAAATGTTCATGTACTTTACTAAAATCAAATCGACGATGATCTTATTGTCAGCCGGACTGTGAGTATGTGTCATATCTATATTAGTAGAAACAATTCATTTGTGTTGAATATGTTTTCTGAAAATAACATTCGTGTATTTTAATTTGTTATATGAAAGATTAATTGTTTATGTCCTGCTGATATGCGAGTATATATGTTAAATGAATTAATTTTGGCAGATTCCATTTTCTAATTAATAGGTGTTATTTGAAATATTTTTTATTAGTCCTAATATGATAATCCCTTAAATTTGGGTTAAGTAAATCATTCATTTTATCATCACACGCATTTTAGTTTCCACTAAACAATCAATAGTAAATTGATCATAACTTGCATAATAAAAATCCAATTGATAAAAGGATTGAATCTTTGAAAACTAGACAGATAGGGCTTTAATTTGATATATCATACACTTAATTTGGATAACTGTAGCCACACTGCCGAACCATTCCTTTTATCATCACACACGTTTCGACTTTCACTGAACAGTCAGTAGTAAGTTGACCATAACTTGCTCAATAAAATCCAATTAATGAGAGGTTTGAATCTTTAGAAACTAGACAGACAGAGATTTACATTGCTATATTATACACTTAATTTGGATAATTGTAGCGTCACTGCTGAACCATTCCTTTTATCATCACACACATTTCGGTTTCCCCTGTTTCTTGATTTTTACCAAACAGTCAATAGTAAATTAGCCATACTTTTCTCAATAAAACTCCAATTGATGAGAGATTTAAATCTTTGAAAACTAGACAGATAAGCTTTAATTTGATATATTATATGCTTAATTTGGATAACTGTAGCCCCACTTCTGAACCATTCCTTCTATCATCACATACATTTCGGTTTCTACTGAATAGTCAGTAGTAAATTAACTATAACTTGCTCAATAAAACTCTAATTGATGAGAGGTTTGAATCTTTAGAAACTAGACAGAACAGACTTTAATTTTGTATATTATACGCTTAATTTGAATAGCTGTAGCCCTACTTCCAAACTATTCCTTTTATCATCACATATTTCGGTTTCTACTAAACAGTTAGTAGTAAATTGACCATAACTTGCTCAATAAAACTCCAATTGATGTGAGGTTTGAATCTTTAGAAATTAGACAGATATGACTTTAATTTTATATATTATATGCTTAATTTGGATAAATTTTCTTCCGAACCATTCCTTTTATCATCACACACATTTTGGTTTCCCTAGTTTCTTGATTTTCACATAACAATCAATAGTAAATTGGCCATAACTTATTCAATAAAAATCCAATTGATGAGCGGTTAAATATTTAGAAATTAGAAAGATATAGCTTTAATTTGATATATTATACGATGAATTTGGATAACTATAGACTTGCGGCCGAACTATTCATTTTATCATCATACACATAAAACCAATTTAATTTTAGTGACAAAGGAAAACAAATATTGATATGTAGTATTAATTGTATTTGTTCTATCTCTTTTTGTTGATATTTTTTTTTTTTATGTTACATAAATATATCGAAAACAGGTTGTTGCTTAATATAACAAATTTTATTTGTATCACATTTATTTGTATCACAAATATCATCTGATGTTTTTCGCCAAACCATGTAGTTTTAGTAAACTATTTGTAATATATCGAACCATTATTATTATCCTTAAAAGAAAAATAAATATTGATATGCAATTTTAATTGTAATTGTTCTATCTCTTTTTGTTGATATTTTTAATGTTACATAAATATATCATGAAAATAGGTTGTTGCTAAGTATAAATAGTTTCATTTATTTAACAAATATCAACTAATATTTGATGCTGAACCATGTAGCATTAGTAAACTATTCATTTTATCATCACACACATTTAAGTTTTCACTAAACAATCAATAGTAAATTGACCATAACTTGCTCAATAAAACTCCAATTGATGACAGGTTTGAATCTTTAGAAACTAAGAAGACCGGGCTTTAATTTGATATATTATACACTTAATTTGGATAATTTTAGCCCCACTTTTGAACCATTCCTTTCATCATCATACGTATTTCGGTTTCCACTGAATAGTCAGTAGTAAATCGACCATAATTTTCTCAATAAAAATCTAATTGATGAGAGATTTGAATTTTTAGAAACTACACATATAGGGATTTAATTTTTATATATTATATGCTTAATTTGGATAAATTTAGCCCCATGGCCGAACAATTTCTTTTATCATCACACACATTTCGATATCTACTGAACAATCAATAGTAAATTAACCATGACTTGCTCAATAAAAATCTAATTGATGAGAGGTTTCAATATTTAGAAACTAGACAGACAAGGATTAAATTTGATATATTATATGCTTAATTTGGATAACTATAGCCCCACTGTCGAACCATTCCTTTTATCATCATACATATTTCAATTTCCCCTATTTCTTGATTTCCACTGAGCAGTCAGTAGTAAATTAGTCATAACTTGCTCAATAAAAATCCAATTGATGAGCGGTTTAAATCTTTGGAAACTAGAAAGATAGAACTTTAATTTGATATATTATACGATGAATTTGGATAACTATTGACCTGCTACTGAACCATTCATTTTATCATCAGACACATAAAACAAATTCAATTTTAGTGAAGACAAAGGAAAGCAAATATTGATATATAGTTTTAATTGTATTTTTTCTATATCTTTTTGTTGATTTTTGGATTGATTTGTGGGTTTTGTGGATTTTACAATTATCGTCTTTCTTTAGGATGCTATCATCAAATGCTTTTTTTGCTATAGGTGGTGGTCAATTCTAATTGCAGCAAATGGATTTGTGTCATAGAACATTTATCTTCATAGCTTCTTCAATGCTTCAATTAAGTTGCCTTCAGATTATGTTGTTGTTGGAGTTGTTATTGCTTTCTATGTGAGTTCTCCTCTCAACATTCTTAAATTTTTTTATTTCTAAAATATTAATAATAATAATAATTCATTTTCTCTTCTCAACAATCAAAATCAGTTTTTTCCTTTGGCTCTGCAAGTCTCTTGCTTAAAAGTTCACATTTTTCAACAAAATTTCTCTTTCTCTAATTGATTTATAGACTTATCAATAATACCTAGTGGGTTTGCAAATTTTTTTGCTTTTCTTGACAAAGTTTTAAACTTTGGTTGCAGATATCAAATGGTGACATATTGAGAAGTCCCATGATGATATATAGACTTTGAGTTCAATTTGTGGATATTTTATTTATTGATTTTTTTATTATCAATTCAATATAAATGAACTTCAATATAAAAAATATATATTTAAAACACAAAAAAAACCAATAATAATGTAAAAATAATATAATAAACATATCCACGCAATGCAACTTGAAAATGAATATAAGTTATAGAAATTGCGGAAGGTCGGTATAAATTTTAAGTTTAAATAGTTGATCTTGATAATATTCAGGTGATATTAAATATTATACACAATTCACTACAAAATACTGACATCGAATATTAAAGATATGTCTACAAAAATAATATCAATTGTACAAGATGATGATCCTGAAAATATAATTAGACCATATTATATTCAAATAATCATCTCAAGTTAGATCAATAATTTAATGACATTTACCTATAATTGATATTAATAATTATACAGGTACAATTATTAAATTTATCTTAACACAACTTTATATATATATACAATTTATATTTACTTAAAATTTGTATAATTTAACAATTATTATATCTTAATCTAATTAGTTTATTTTGTTAAAATAAATTTGTTTATAATCTATTTAAAAAACATTAAATAAATATACTTGCGCAACACGAGGGCCCATGTGAAGTTATTTTGTATATGCTCTTCTAGTATAAATTTTAGACTATGATTCCTTATCGTATTTAACTACTAAATTTATGAAGACCCCACTTTAAAAATTGTAGGTCTACTGTGTATTTATGGACAAAGCCTGTATCTTAGCTCTGAGCTCTACGGATTATTAATGTAATTAATAGTCAATTATTGTATCCATTTTCAGTAATACACAATATTAGTAGTAATTTGTTCAAAAATTTTAAAAAAGATTTTAAAATCTTTTCCCTCAACATTTATTTTGCTAATGCTTCTGCTTTGTAAGGGACACAAAATTATTGGAAATTTTTTTTGAGAATAATGTGAATATAAAGTATCAATTTAAAGAGAAAATTTGAATAAGATTATAAGAAAAATGTTGATTGAGTAGGGAAAACTTTTTTTTTTCATCAAAAATAAGGTAGAGTAATAAATGCAGGCAAATATAAATGATTTAATGAACATTCAGTTTCAGTTTTTGAATGCTCAAGTGGGTTTATTCTTCTGATATATTTGGAGACTGGTTGTACTGCCCCACAAGGCCACAACTCGTTGTAAACTATACTAAAAAGACATTAGGGAGAAGTGCACATTTTATCAAGGACTTTTGTATTAAACCAACCCATCAAAGAATAATAATGCATAATTTCTACGAAGAACTTGTATATGCATTACTCATTCAAATTAATTCGATAAACATAGTTAAGTTTCTTCCTTCTACTTTTAAATCTATTTTAGACAAAGGGGATATGAGATACTATCATTGTTAGTTAACAAGAGGCTTCACTAAATCCCTAACAGGTAAAAACTCCACTGGCACTGGGATATTAAGCTCTGAACAAACAAAGTCAATGATTCTTGCAGTCATGGCACCAAATGACAATTTGTTCAAGGACACCACTATAACAAACCTGTGTTTTATGTCACAGAAACCTGTTGATCCACCCATGCCCGAGTGCCCAAAACCAATAAACGATCCATCCTTGGCTGTATGCCTCTTAAACCCTAGTCCAAATTGTCCATTTGGCAATACCGAATTCCCATAATCACCCACTCCTAAGAATGCATCATTGATTCTAGGGTTACTGAAAATCTTGCCACCAGTATTTGTGAGCCTGGTATAACCGTCACCACTAGCATCCTGACTATGACTATCATTATTATTTGTCTTGTACTTTGGACCAGCAGGTACCTCCTTGCTTTTCTTATGTTTTGGTTTGTTTGACTTCTCCTGTGAATTAAATTTGAGCATGTGGGTGTGACTACCAAGTGTCGGCTTGGATAGAGAGGAATGTTGGGGTGGGACCACTCCCCCATCAGCTAAGGCTGCATAGTAGCGTGCAACTGCACGGGCTGAGCAATGTCCATTAGTAGCTGGCATGATGCCACGACGAAGGTTCAACATATTAAACAAAGGGGGAAAGGTTTTAGCAAGTTGTATAAATTGCTCAGGCTGCATCGTAGAGGGTAGGTCAGGATGATGACTCTCTAAGAGTGTGTTGAACTCATCTATATCTAGTGTAAGACTTGCAAGTCGAGATTCCACACCTGCAGGGTAGCCATTGATAGGCACAATAATGCCATTGATGATAGCTATTTCAGTTCAATGGTTACAATAGACTGCATAGTTCTATGTTTAATAGAAGATGATTGTGTCGATATTCATGTAAACCTATATTTTTGTAATAGGTGACACAAGATTAAAAAACTGAAGTTTGACAAGTACCTGGTGGAATTCCAACATATAGCTCGCCTTCAATATTTAGGGGTCGAATGTAAGCTTCTTCAAGAATCTCCTGAAATCTCTTCCCAGACGCATGCTGTTTTATCCAAGCATCTTATTAGAATGGGGAACAACATAGAGAAATTGAAAATAAGTTTGATCATTATCCAAGCATCTTATAACACACGCACAATCAATCCCATCTGGCATTCCTAGACAAAGAACCATATAAATATAGGCAAGATATTTGTAACTATAAATTTCAGGGTTCATAAAGAAACAGGGGGTGCACAAAAATTATCTCAGTAGGCTAAATGACAACTTAGAAGGAACATATACATGCTTGAGCTGTCATTTAGGGAAAGCTTCAGACTCAAACCGTAGTTGATATTATATTCATTTGAAAGCAACATTATCATGCTATAATACCTCAATTATTCCACCACACAGCCAGCCAAAAGACAGATAGTGATAGAACTGCTGTTGGCCTGGTTCAGTTTCCGGTACTGACATGGCAATCCGGCTCAAACATTCATTCCAGTCAGCAAGTAGAAAAGGATTTTCTGCTGCAAACTCCATCAAAGCATTGTGCAAACCACTTGTATGATTAAGCACATGATGGACCTAAAGTTGAAAACCAAGTTACACTGAGTACAAATATGGAGACTTACTGACATAAGAACTATTGATAACCATAGGGTATGTTTAACAGGTCATAGGGAAAGATGTACACCTTTATGAGATCTTTCCAATTTGTTCCATTTGATCCAAATCCTTGCCAAATTTTGGCGACATTCTCCTCAAGCTTGAGTTTTCTGCCAGACAAAATGCCACAATCTGTAAAATCGCATGAATGATTAAAGGAACATTGACATCTTGTATCACACAATGGTCTCTTGTGTACCAAAGTATTCATTAATCTGAGAATCTTTATATGATCAATTTCTTCATTTCAGCTATGTTCCAAGTAGTTCAAAATCAATGACAAATTTGGTGAATCTTTCTGAAATACTATAGGTCTATCACCGAATAATTTCATAATGAATTAAAGGTATATGATTTTAAACTCCACCTAAGTAAATATTTAAAAATGCAGCATCGAGGTATAACGAAAGAAGCTCAAAAATCCACAATATGAATTAAATGTTCCGTCAAATGGAGACCTATAGATTTACTATATATCCAGGAAGAGGCAAAATACCACAGAAAAAAGACTCAAATTTCCAAAAGGGTCAAGTAGGTAAATCACTATCCATGTCAATAATTAATTACCCTTGATCATATTGAACTAAGTGATACTTGTAACAATGTCTTCTGACACGCAGTAGATGTGGACCATCCAAAACATCAGCAAAATAATGCATTGTTTATATTTTAATAAAAACTTCTCAAATTATATCTGGCCAGACCTCAACAACATAAATTTGACACTTAAAGAGTTTGTAGTAAATATGCAAGGAACTACTGTTAATGGGCATACAACTAGTCAAATAAAACGTTTGCACAACAAAGAATGAAGATTTACGATCACAAAGCTAAGTACCCATAAGAACAGTGACATACCCATTGTCAACCAGCCAATGTAACAGTCCTGCTGTGATGCCCTTTGTTACCGAAAAAACATTAAAAAGACTATCAGGCTGAACAGGACGAGGATCATATCTACCAAGTACTCCAGCAGCCGTATCTATAATGACCTCACCATCTTTGTACGCACAAACCTTGAGGCATCATGAATGAAAATCTCATAAAAAGTGAAGCATAACCAAAGCAACATTTTTGCTTTTTCTTCTTTTGGCATCCAAAAATAAAGAAATGAGCTTAATATCATCCTACAATTTTTAAAATGAATTTCAAACCAGAAAGTGAAATAAAAATAAAGGTGAACCAACTAAAGGTACATAAACTGGAAGAAAATAATTCTTCTTTGCGACACCACCCAATTTCATTTATTGGACACTATACATTGATTTTCAAGATTCACTAAAAATACCTATTCCTATCACATTCTCACTCGATGTCAAATTAGTACAATTATGCTGTTTTCAATCACTCTCTAATGTAACCTTAGAGAGCTAAATAAAGGCTTCTGTTTGCCATGTCTTTAACAAAAGCAAGTGTCTAATGGTAATCCATGTTACTGAGCTCCTGCCAGCTTACTTTTTCTTCTCTGCTTTGCTGAGCAGTAATAAAAGTGATTTTCAGGAATTTAAAGATCTTGAGGCATAGATCAACTAGCAATTCAATAAAGATCTCCACTTCAAGCATTGTTGGATAAACCACATGAATTGCCTAAAGGAATCCCCAAACATACAGATAATACTAAGTATTTATACTTATTTTAAAGTTGTATTGAGTTTCAACTTTGTAGTCACATTGCCGGGAAATTCTAGCTAGAAACAATCCACAAAGTTTGATGAAGTGATTATCTATGCCATGGTAACGACGAGTGCGCTACTTGATGCAGAAAATTACTTTCATCATTAAATGTGAAGCATTGGTCCAACTTTGTGAAAATCTCACAGCCTATAAGTCACAGGTCTAACCACCATTACAATTTATATTATTAAAAAGAGGAGTATAAGAAATGCACACTTTTCAAAAAGAAATGTGGAAAAAGCTAAAGAGAATAATCCTATAATAATCGAGACAAAAGTGTTGTAATAATCTTACACTTCATACATCAAAAGGTGTATTATCAAAGTTGTACAATTTCAGGTATTAATAAGGAGGTTTTAAATTGTAACATGCCTCCTAAAAGCAATTTCATTAGTTGAAGCCATCAAAATACAAGACTTGTTTAGGAGATTCTGTACAAAAGGAGAAACTTTTGATAACTAAGTTTTAGAGGTTTTATGGGACATAATTTAATGGTGATCTTGCAACCATAGAAATATCAGATAATCAGGTTGTAACATGCGAAGCCCTGCATTTATCTGCCAGATCTATTTCCAGCAACACATTAAATGTCTCCTTACCCATATATAAGTAGCTCAATAATCTAATCGTAGATCTATTACATTTTCAGATCCTGGATCATCCTATGTTCTCCAAGGGCTAGATACATGCATTAATTAGTTATTATTGTTTATTGGTCGTAGTGTTATTATTTTTTCTCTCTAATAAATGGATACCTCCATTATAATGAAAACAAAAAAACTGAAGGCTTCTAACGAAGTCAATCAGCTCAATCAACTAGTTCTCTCTAACTAGGGACCTATAACATGGAAAACATAGCTCTAGAAGCAGAATGGAAAGAGAAAGAAGGAATTAAATATTACAAGCTTTGAAAATGACATAATTGGAAAGGCACTATTTAGATTATTATGCTATCAGGTAAAAGTTAAAATAGGTTCAGACCTGAATTCGAAGTATTTTACCATCGTTCCCGAGCTCAATTAAGAACTTCCTGAGCTTGGCCTCCACATCAGAATGGACTGGAGTATCATAAATCCATTGTGGATTAACTGCCGGTCCCATATTAATGTTTCTAAGAAGTTAAATCACATTGTAGTCAGATATGAGCCAAAGATAATGAAATGACCCATCAAGGATAGAATGGACTCACCCTTCTAAAACAGATTCAGCAAATGGTCTCATAATATCCATATATGCTATGCGAACATTCATGGTGGATGAAAGCCCTGAACAATTGTTGACAGTAAGATAAAAAATGGACAGTTGGTTAATACAAGGTAACGAATGGAAGTCTCTATCACAGACCTCTAAGAAGACCAAGGACCCTGGAAAATATTACAATATCACCAGGAAAGGCATCAATCTGGTACCAAAAGTGTGTAAACATATTAAAATTATGATTGAATGTCTCAAACAAACATATAGATAAAAGGAGATGATATGGCCTTACAGGATTAAAGCGTTTAACTTCTTTTTGGTCAAGATTCATTTTTTCCTGTATAACCTTCATGTTTTTTGTCTTTAGATCGGTAATATTTTTCATGGTTTCCTGTACACGGAGATTAGTGAGGAGTAAAGAAAATTTAAGTTGAGAAGACAATCTGAGAGTAGTGCAAACTTACTTGAGCTTCATCTGCTGGTGTGGAATCACGGAAGAATAAAGTTGTAACCTCCATAGCCTCCTCAGGCAGGTCTAGACGCAGATGAAGTCCCATTTCTGCCATGGCAGACAAAAGAGCTACATGGTCCCCCTTTGACAAAGACAAAAATAATTATTTCTTAATATGCAAAAGAAATGGTTTGAAGAGATGTGGAAACCAGGAAGACATTAAATAAATTAGTTAGAATTGAAGTCATAGCAAGGTTGTTAAAAAATTATTTTCTCGAAAAGTTTAAGCTTATAGATAAGGTCAAACAATAGTACATAAGCTCTAACATCCCCCACCCCCTTGTAATGCACTTGCATATGGAACATACACAATTAAATACAACTTATAACAATTTTCTTAATACAATATGTTGAATCAAACACAAGACCACTTTATCATCTTGGCTTTGATACGATGTAGATAAGAATGTTTCAATAGTATTTAGGCCAAGTACAAAAAATAATGACGGTCTAGCCTGATTAATGAAAGTGGAAATAAAGTAAAAGATTGCAGCTAAAGTAGACGCAGACACGACTCTTTGATCCTAGAGCAGTTAGCTGATAGACACTCACACTATCAATATATTGGGTCATCAGATAATTCTTCTAATTTCTATTATTCTTTAAAATATTTATTCTAACATTAGAAAGAAAAAAAAATAATAACCAAAAGTTAACCCAAACCTCTGCAGCTGCTAACAACATTTTTGCTAGTGCTTGTTTCACAGAGTTTGACAGTTTCTTTGTGAGCCCAAAGTCGAGCAAAATTGGACGATGAGGAGCCTCCTTGCTAACAAGGAAATTTCCTGCATTAAAACACCCAAGAAATTATTTGAATAGGTAGAGGGAATTGATTGTTGAACAACTGGCATATTGTGTGATAAAAAACCCAGCTTTAATTGTAACACTAATATTATGACTCAATCTAGCCAAACAAAATTTCAAGACTATAAGGATAAAAAAGAAAAAAAAGAAAAGAAACTAGTGAGAACAAGTACCAGGATGAGGGTCACCATTGAAAAATCCATCAACATATATTTGGTGGGCATATGCACGTATTATTTCTTCTACAATCTTCCACTTATCAACACAAAAACCTTCCAGAGATTCAGAGTCATTTAAACGTATCCCATCCATATACTCTAAAATGAGGACAGCTTCAGTTGACTGTCAATTGAAAAATCAAGATGCACAGTTAGATATTTGAAACTGAAAAAGCAGTGTCTCTATTCTAAGTCAAGTTCCTAAGTACAACACTAGATCAAAGTCTAGCATTAGTACTAACTAGGTAAACGAAAAAAAAAAAAAAAAAAGGCATTCCTTTTTCCACATTACAGAGCTAACATGATAAATGTTGCATAACAAAAGAACATATATACAACATATTAGTTCCTGGGAAATGCATAATAGAAAATCTAATAGTTATAGCCAAAAGTTAACCCCATTTGTGAAGGAGTATATGTGCTTACATTTATAAAACTTGAACTTGTTTCATGAGGACAAAACTTTTCTGTTTCACTTGATATTCTATTTGATTTTTTTATAACTTATGATAACACCAGATTAAAAATAAATAGTTCAGACTTCCTATCCTTCAAATTTAAACATAACTCTGAGTCACCTATACTCCAGATACCAGACTCAGCAAATTAAATTTAAAGAATATAGGAAATCATGCCTGAATAACTTCAGGAATAAGAACGTCCACTTTATTGGCAGTGTTGTTATCTTCACACCTGTTTTTGCAGCAAAGATTTCTAGACACAATTCTAGTATTTTCTACAAACACAAAGCAAGCATCAATAAGAAAAAGAAGTGCTTGCTGAAAAGTTGAAAGACATTTCAGAGGATTTTAGAAGTAACTAGTTGGAAATTAAAGCATTTATCCTTGAAATAGAAATACAATGAACTATCTCCAACTCATTCATGTAAATATTCTTCATACCAGCTTCATGATTGAAGTCAAGTTCTTTTGATGTTTCTTTACACCCTTCGTCTATCATGGAATTGAAGTCATATAGCGGTTCTGCCCATGCTATCCACTCAACAATCGATTTTGCATCCTTTAAGTCCTAAACAATTATGGCATACCCAATAAAATTTAATCACAGCAGGTTTTACTTTGCATCCAACATTTATGAACAAAAGAATGTAAAACCTCCAACATAATTTTCTTGATGCCCTGGTGCCGAACTTTGACAACCACCTCCTGCCCATTCATCAGCTTGGCACGGTGGACTTGTGCAATCTGCATAGCTTAAAACATGAAAATCCCAGAATGTACTTACTATTTCAATATCTCATACTGCAAATTATAGTTCGAGGATCTTACTGATGCTGTTGCCAAACTTGGACAAAATCCTTGAAGAGATTATTCATGGATTTACCCAACTCTTTCTCTATGGTATCACAAACCTGTGGGTGCAAAATTTACCACATAGTCAATCATGTAATTGAATATTTTGAAGATGTACAAAAAAATAAGCATATGCACAAACTGAGAAATACAGGGGCCTTGGCGACGGCCACATTTAGCCGCCGTGAACTCCCACGCAGCGGTCAGATCTGCCCAGCCGCGTGGGGGTTCAAGCGACGGCTGTGGCCACCGCGACCCATTTTTCCTCTTTTTTCTAGTTTGCTATTTTTTAAAAATTCCTCGAAATTTGATGACTTGGGCAGTTGGGTTGATAATAAGACCGATTTGCATTTGAACTTTAATGTAAGTCGAATAATCAGAATAATTGATGAAATTCTGATGATTTTTTTTTTTTTTTTTTTTTTTGAATTAGAAAATTTGATAACTTATTTAGGGTAGATATGAAAGATTGCTGGATGGATGTGTTAATTATTAAATAATTCTAAGGCCCCCCTGCTTTTTACTTAAGTAATTTTCCTGTTTTCCGTTAGTTTAAGGAATTAAAAGAGTAATTTACTTTTAATTGTTATAATTAATATAATTAATGAAATTACTTCAAGACATGGAGGCAGAGTAGACTTAGGTGGTGGCTGAGCACTTTTTTTCTTTGTAATTTCAATTCAATATGTGTAGCTAATTCGGCAATTGTATAGCAATTTGTTATCTTACACAAATACCTAATTTGGTAATTTTGTAACTACTCGTTATCCAGATTCACACATATCTTGTGATTGTATAGTCGTTGAAATTCCTCAGTATATTGATGAACAAATCTATTACCTCAACAATTATTATCATATATATTAAATAAACAACATCTTAGCATGCTCCTAAAGAAGTTGTCTTAAGGTATATCTTATTTTATTTTTTATTTTTTTGGTAACCGAGATGTCCAGGCCAATTTGTGTGCATTTCAACTAATTTCCGAGGTCTATTGAACACCTTATAAGCTCAAATGACCATGTAAGCCACAATGTTATTGTGGTAAGTGGTCCCAAGATTTGAACCTAAGAACTCAAGAAAGAGAACAAACCTCATTTGACTATCAGTCCAATCTCTTGTGGTTATGTCTTATTTCATACCACATTCTTGACATGTTCTTTTGAAACATCATTTAATTAAGTTCATTTAATAAAATCTCATGAATCAGAACGTCCTTTGAAATACAAAAGATAAAAAAAAATAGGGTGACTTAGAATGGTTCTCCAAAGTATTGACATATTGGCAATCTATCTTTTCTTCTTTAAGAGATGAGCACAACTAAATTGAAAAGTTTTAAAACATAGAAGGACTAAAAGAAGATATATCCAAAGTTGAGGTTTAAAGAATGACTTTAAACTTCAAGGTAGAACCAACAGTAATAAGTGCTTGAATGAAGCCGAGTGTTACATTACTTAATAGACTAGTCTTTTGGGTACTTACAGGCATAGGCTCTTGTCCATTATGTGCACTTCGTAAAAGGCAAGTTGTCTTACTATACGGGCCTCCAAAATCTACCAATCGGTGAGTTGAAGCCAAGGAATCAGGATAATGCTGAAGGGTTAGTTGGACTGCTAAAAGTGGGCCCTGTACAACCCGAGTAAGGTATGAGTCAGGCCAACCAATGATTGTGTCGAATGTGCAATAAGGGCATCATATAATTGGGCAGGGTAGAATGTTATGTTCCACATCAAATACCCATTGGTTGGATATTTGACTTATAAGGGCAGGTAAACAACAACACTTAATTGGCTAGTTTCTTGGATAGTATAATTGGCGTGTGCTCGACTGTGACACAAGTGTTAATTGATAGATCAATCGGTGGAGAGTTGTCTTGTTCCGGGAATGATGATTCTTTGATCAAACATTATCATTAAGCCATGTATTATATTTATAGTTAAATTTATAAAGTTAAATAATTATTTTCATGACATTATATAAAATTATTTAAGTAATTGTACATTAAACATTAAATGAGCATATATGTTAAAATGTTAATTTTCAGCGCTTTTTAATTTCCAAAAACAAACTTAACTCTTGTAATCATTCTAGAAAAAAAAAAAAAATGTAGACGGTAAAATCTACAGTTGATTCGGAAGGGAAGGATCATGTGAGGAATGAGCCACTGATAATCGTGTGGACTTGCAAAGACAAAGAGAATGAACGTGAAGGCTTGGGGGACACAAGTGTGGTGTCTGCCGTCGATATTCCGACGCTCAAGTTAGCACGGTTGAAGGCAATTTAGTAAGGGTTGAGAGTGAGAAAGGGTTTACCGTAATAATGTGGCTAGGGAGACTATTGTAAAGTGGTTGGAGCACAGTTTTACGGTGGCTAAGAGAGGTAAAGTTAGTCAGAATTAAGCTTTACGGCGGGGAAATGCAGCGGTTCTTGAGAGCAAGAACTTTGAGAGCTAAAACTACGGGTTGTATGTGAATAAATAATGAGGGGTTTGACCCCCTCTTTATATAGTAAGCCAAGGAGGCTTGAGTTCTAGTAGAACTCTGATTTCTACTATTTTAGAAATTCCAATAAATAGGAAAGACGTAATGTTTATCCATGTAAAGATAGAAGTATTAGCTCAAATAAGATTGGAAATATTGGATGAACTAGGAAATAAGTAGGACTCCGAGTCCTATTTTTGGACGAATATGAGCTAATGAGTTGGAGCATAATTTAGCTTAACTTGTAGAAAGTCCCAACTCATGGAGTGACCCAAAGTATAAGTTGGCCCAAGTCGTAGAGTGACCCAACTCGTAAAGTAGCTTAGCTTATAGAGAGGGCTAACTTGTGGTGTGGTCCAACACGTACAATGGGTCGGCCCATAAAAAAAAAACATTCTTACAAAGTGGGGCATCCTATTAGATGGTTAATCCATAAGATTAATTTAAGCGTGGGTCCAACCAGGATGGGGCTCTGGCACTGAGCTGTATAGTGTTTATATTAGGTCTAACAAGTCTGGTACAATTTTTGGCCCATATAACATATCGTTAGAAATATGTATTCAGATTAAGTTTTGTTCAGTTTTCAAGTAAAAAAATCAAACACTACCTAAACAAGTAAATTCTAATCTTGCATCACTAGAACCAAAATTAATACATAATGCAAGCAAACAAACATTTTCGAACAACTAATCTGGAATCCTTCAATATTCACCATGACAATATGAGCTAAGCAAAAATCAAAACTAGACTTCCATTATTTTCTAATATATGAAGTTTAGGTAAACGAAGAATCACCTCTTGTAAAGGACGAGGAGGAAGTGAGTCCTGCAACTGCTTGAAAAGAGATATGTACGCCGCCGGAAGCACATCAGCCCGTGTGGATAAATACTGTCCAAGTTTCACCCATAAGCAACCCAACTCTATTATCACATTTAGAACACGCTTAGCATTGCGCTTATGAGCTTTTTCCCATAAACTAGATTTTTTAGTCCATTTCTCTCTTTTCTGTACAGTCTTCGGTAAAATTAACAGCAAAAAAGGAAATAAGATCACCATATATCCTGTTGAAATCGAGATAGCAAGTTAGTTGTAGTAACAAAGAAACTTTACCTTGTAGTCCAGGTAAATTATCAATGCCGTCTTGAATACTTTCATGCGTCTCATGCAAATGTTTCCCCATCCCATCTGAAATTTTATCAAAACTAATTAACGGTTAGTTGATGACAAAGGAAACTTCAATGAATTAATCTAAAAAACACGGCCTTTACCATTTAAAAGAGATTACCTGAAGTTCTGAAGTTAGTTGATGAAAGAGAGATTGCAGAATAGAAATCGTTGAAATTACTCTGATTTCTGTATCGTTTTAAAAAAGGACGATTTCACTTGTTTTGTTAAGTTTTCTAATAAGAGTAAATGATATTACTAAAGATCAATGAACACAGATGTTGCGTGGAACAAGAGGGAGGGAATCTGAGCGTTAAAATATTATTTGAAAGGGGTGGCTTAAAGCTAGACATTGCTTCATTAGGATGTTAGATTTCGAGATGTTTATATGATCCCCCACCATTTTTAGTTAACTATTTTTTTTATAAGCAATTAAGATATTCTCCTTATGTTAGTTTATATTAAATATATGTGATGAATATTTGTTTATTCTTTTTATTTTATTATTATTAATAAAAAATCATAATTCTTTATTCAAAAAAAAAAAAAAAAAAAAAACTAGCATTGTACAGGATATCCATTTAAGTTAATATATAGTAAAGTTTTTGTTGTAGATAACGACCTTTTCTCTATTTCACGATTCTTCTAATGTAAGGTCCTAAAATAAGTTCTTTTCTTGTTATTGTAATTCCTTCTGGGTTAGGAGACATCCTAGCATGTTTATATAGATATTTAAATACGATAAAGTTTTAATTTATTTCTCCTTGCTTGCCTGATTAATTTGTCTCTTCAATATATATATTATATCCTAGATAATATTGAAGCTCATTGAGCTTTTCCAAGAACCTAGACTTAACAATAGTTTTTATTTTTTATTAGGGGAATATAGCTACAAGAAACATGACTGTTCACCACTAATTTTTTTATAACAAAACAATTTAGTTATAGAATATGGGTTTTTGCAACAGAATTGTTGAAACATTCCAATAACAATAACATTATGATTCACACTTTATTTTTCTACCAACTATTTATTTTTGTCTAGCAATCTTTCGGTCGTTAAAAAAATTATTTGTAACTAATATGAAATTAGTAGTGAAATATAAGTACAGTAAAACCTCTCTATAGTCATAATGGTGGGATTAACTAATTTTATTACTATGAGGAAATTATAACTTCATAGAGGTATAGTTACAAAAATTTATTATTTTATAATTTATGTTTTAGTAGTACGTACAATATTAGGATTTGAATTCATGTTTTAATAGTATTAAGATTTCGATTTAGCACTTCAATTGCCTATATTTGAAAAGAATAGAAGATCGTGTCTTGAAACCAGCAAAGATAAGTGTCCTTGATTGAATTGTAAATGCAGTTGTTGCATGGTCAATTGATGTGAAACCACAGACAATTACTAGTTTTTTTTAAGCATTTGAAAATTAAGACCTCCGATGTCGATGAATTGCAAGTTACAAATGAAGTGAATGAGGAAAATCAAAGAGTCATTGTAGAATTGAGTAATCAGATTTGACAACTTACACTAATTAAATAGATATTAATGTCTTCTTCAATTATCCAAATGAGCAATAAGTCATGTATGCTTTAACTGAAAAATAAATCATTACTACAATTAGACAAGAGGAGAAAAAGAAATAATCATGAAGATGATAGTACAGAAATACAAAAAGTTTTGTGCCAAGAAGCTCTAAACATGTTTAGGAAGCTAGAAATATTTTGACTTCAACAAGAAGATATATATGCTAGCGAGTAATATACTCACAAGTTAAAAGGTGTGGTAATAACTCTAATATATAAATAAATATCCTAAACAACTTTAGATAGATATTTTTTTTTTTTCATTTTAAACCTTTAATGTAAAGTATGTATTTTTTTTGCAATATACATATAATTATTACTATATGGAAGCAACTTTTCTTAAGATGGGATTCAGAAAAATTATAACTTATTACAATGTGAAGTTTATTCTTATTTATAACTATCCTAAATTGGGAATATAATTTTTATGACTATGTAGAGTTTATTTCTATATAAAGTATCACTATATCAAGGTTTTACTGTATTTTTTTCGGAGGCAAAATTTTCATCTTTGTGGACCTATATACAACCATGATTCATAATGAACAACTAAGTATTCGGTGGAAAAAAGCCACTTTTGGTAATAATTTATTACCAATTTTCTGAGGTCAAATTTTTTTCTTCTCCATATGGGTTTATTTAACGACCATGTTATAAAAAGTTATTATGGGTGACAATCACTGTGGTAGCAAAATGTTTTCAAATATTTTATTATAAAAATAATATTGTTTTTGGAGGCAAATAATCCCTCCTTGTTGATTTATTCGACAAGATTTAATAAGACATTAATCCCTCCAATGCATGATATAATAACAAAATTGTTAGAGATATATCAGCTATAAAGGATTCTGTAGTTATAACTGATCAACAGTATTTGAATTCTAAACATGAGAAGATCTCGGAAGTTGATAATGCAGCATCATAACAAGCTATTATTTAAATATATTATAGCTGTGTTCTTATCTTCTCAGTAACCACTTTGTAAATTCAAATACATGTATTACCTCTATAAATATAATGCAACACACGACTGGTAATATATAGAACACTAGCCTTCAATTTCTATTTCTGACTTGGTATCAAAGCACTCATTAGCTCACGCTTTTCTCCCTTCGATCCATTATGGCCTCAGCTTCCAATAATCCCTCTTTTATCATTCCTAATATCACATCTTTGGTCTCTGTTAAACTTGAGGGACCAAACTATCTGAACTGGACTACTCAGTTTATTCCAATTCTGAGAAGTCATGACCTCCTCAGCATTGTTGATGGCTCAGAGGTGTGTCCTGCTCAGTACCTCGTTGATTCAGATGGCAAAGTCACCTCTGATATCAACCCTGCCTACCTGGTGTGGCAGAAGAAGGATCAATTCATCCTGGCATGGTTAAATGCTACCCTTTGTGAGAAGGTTTGGTCCACTGTTTATGGCCTCACTACTTCCAAACAAGTTTGGAATACACTGTCAACAAGATTTGCTTCTCAGTCTCGCTCCATAATTTCTCACCTCAAAAGACAACTCCAAACTCTTCAACAAGGTACTAATACCTATTCTGATTACTTGCTTACAGCAAAATGTTGGGTTGATCAACTATCTGCCGCTGGTAAGTCTGTTGAGAATGATGATCTGATTTCATATGTTGTTGGCGGACTTAACCCCATAATTACCCCTTTCATCACAACTCTCAATTTTGCCACCCGTGATCATTCATCTCCTTTGATGACTTCCAAACAAAGTTACTCAACTTTGAGCAACTTCTCGAGGCACAAAATAAGAATTTACCATCTGAAGGTACTCAAATGACATTCTTCACCAATAAACATAAACCACATTATGGCAAGAAACCAAAATTCCTACCTCAGAAAAACCAGCAATTCACTCGACCAAATATCACTCCAAACACCTCTCCAAATCCTTCCTCTCATACACATAAAACACCACCCTCAAACACCTCAAACACATATACTTTTTCAAGTAAATTCCCTCCCTGTCAAATATGTGGTAAATCCAATCACCAGGCACTTGACTGTTACCACCGAATGGACTTCAACTACCAAGGCAGGCATCCTCCAGCACAACTAGCTGTTATGGAAGCTCACACTCATACTGTCCAGGAGCCAGAACAACCATGGTACCTTAACAGTGGTGCTAACAATCACATTACTTCAAAGCTCGAGAACCTGACACTGAATCAGCAACCATATCATGGGAATGATACAGTCACAGTAGGCAATGGAAGAGGTTTAACCATCACAATAACTGCTACTTCATTCTCACTTCCACTCATTTTTTGGTGAAGGACATGCAGACCAAGGAAACACTCCTCCAAGGACCGAGTAAAGGTGGCCTTTATCCCATGTACCTGCAGCAGTTAAAACTCAATAAGTCAACTCTTAAAGCTGCTCTACTTTCATCATTCACAGCTCTATTAGGTGTCACAGCTCCTCTTCAAGTTTGGCATTCAAGATTGGGTCATCCATCAAAGTCTGTCGTTTCCAAACTAATTAAGAGTTATGTTTTATCTGTTTCTGGTCCAATAAAATCTAGGCATTTATATGAGTCATGTCAAGTTGCTAAGAGTCATAAGCTTCACTTCTCTGAGTCCAATAATAGGTCTACTACTCATCTTGAGTTAATCTATTCGGATATCTGGACTTCTCCTATCATTTCTGATGGTGGTTGTAAGTTTTACATTATATTTATTGATGATTTTTCAAGATTCACTTGGTTGTTTCCATTAAGGCAGAAATCTGAAGTGTTTAGTTGTTTCATTTGATTTAAATGCCTAGCTGAAAAGCAATTCTCTATGCCTATTAAACAACTCCACACTGATAATGGAGGTGAATACTTGTCAACTGCCTTCCAATCTTATCTCTCAACCAATGGGATTTTGCATAAACTTACATGCCCCTACCCCTCAGAACAAAATGGAATTTCAGAAAGGAAACACAGACATATCACAGAAACTGGCTTAACTCTCCTAGCTCAATCTCATCTTTCCTTAACCTATTGGGTCGATGCCTTTCTTACTGCTACCTATCTCATCAACAGACTTCCTACTCCTGTTCTGGCCAACAAATCTCCTTACTTTACTCTTCTTAACATGGAACCAGATTATTCACTCCTCAAGACCTTTGGCTGCCTGTGTTTTCCATTACTCAGATTTTACAATTCCCACAAGTTAGCCTTTGGAAGCAAAAGATGTGTGTTCCTTGGTTATAGTACAAATCAAAAGGGGTATAGATGTATGGATATTCAAACTAAATGTGTGTACATCTCCAGACATGTGGTTTTCGATGAAATGAGTTTTCCTACTCAGATCACAAAGGATAAAGCTGCTGGATCTCCAACCTTGCAGGGGTGCTCTCCTGTGCTCACATCTTCTTCATCATCAGGTAATCTTTCCATTAATCCAATTTTTTTTCCTATAGTTATAACTGATCACATCTCACAACCTGCTCCTATCACCTTACCTGTTACCTCTCCTCGAGAAAACACTTCAACCTTAGTCAATTTGCCTATTCCAGATTCAACTCCACGACCTGATAAGAGTCCCCTCCCTACTCATGTCTCTCCATCAGATGACACTTTCACTTTAGCCAATTCCTTTCCTGCCAGCAATCCCTTACCCACTCCTGCCTCTTTACCACCAACCTCTCCCCCACCCTCTTCCTTTAACATAGATACACAGCCCATCCCTCCATCCATAGATCCCACTTCATCTAGAATTATAACCAGATCTCAAACCAATTCCCTGAAACCTAAGCAATTCCCAGAATATCACCTCTATCATTCCACCAAACACCCTCTCAAAGCCCTCTTTACCTCCTCCTTACCTACTGAACCCCGGACTTATCAGCAAGCAATGAGGGATCCTAATTGGCTAAGTGCTATGCAAGCTGAGTATAGTGCACTTTTAGCAAACAATACTTGGACCGTTTGTCCCCGACCCACTCATCAAAAGGTTGTGTGGAATAAATGGGTATTCAAAGTTAAACAGAAATCTGATGGCACTCTTGACAGGTACAAGGCAAGGTTAGTTGCCAAAGGGTTTGATCAAGTTGATGGTCTGGACTTCAATGAAACATTTAGCCCTGTTATTAAACCTGCTACAATTAGAATGGCTTTAGCTTTGGCTGTTCTCTACAACTGGTGCATTAGACAACTTGATATTTCTAATGCTTTTCTCCATGGTTTTCTTGAGGAAAAGGTCTATATGGAGCAACCTAAAGGCTTTGAAGACCTTAAGCTGCCTGCTCATGTCCGCCTTTTTCACAAATCCATTTATGGCCTCAAATAAGCTCCTAGAGCTTGGTTCTTAAGGCTCTCTCAAGTTTTATTGGAGCTCGGTTTTACTGCTTCTACAGTTGACACGTCCCTTTTCACTTTTCATAAAAACAACATATGTGTTTTTGTGCTCATTTATGTTGATGACATCATTGTCACTAGCAATGCATCATCTACAAGTCTTCATTTAAATCAAGGGAAGTATGCGACTGATTTACTATGCAAACTGAAGATGGAAGGTGCTAAACCAACCTCTACACCCTGTACCTCAGGCAGCAAGCTTTCAAATCTCTCAGGTGACCCTCTCCGTGATGCTACCGAATATAGAACAATGGTGGGAGCTCTCCAATACTTGACACTTACAAGGCCAAACCTTTCCTATAGTGTCAATCAGCTATGCTAGTTCCTTCATTGTCCAAGAACTACACATCTCACCGCTGCCAAGCGAGTCCTAAGATATCTCAAAGGGACACTTCATTTTGGTCTTCAATTCAACAAAGGCTCTTTAAACCTTAATGCTTTCTGTGATTCAGACTGGGCCGATAGTCCTGATGACAGAAAGTCCACCTCGGGTTATTGCATTTACCTTGGTCCTTGCCTAATTTCTTGGATAGCCAAGAAGCAATCCATTGTTTCGAGATCCAGCACAGAGGCTGAGTATCGGTCAATGGCACACACAGTGGTTGAGCTCTATTGGCTAAGGATGCTACTTAAGTAACTCCACATACCTCTACACACAGCTCCTTGCATTTGGATTGATAACATCAGTGCTTTAGCTCTATCATCCTGTTAGAGTAGATGCCCTAGAGCCAATCAATTATTGCAGAATTGACTCTTTGTAATAATATTCATTAATCAATAATAAAAGGCATTTTATTCTATATCGCGAAATCATTATTATTGCAATATGTATTGATATATGTCCTTAGAATGGTAGAACTGTGACGAGGGTATTAAGTGTTTCAAATCTTGATAGTGAGAACCCCATGAGTACATATGGTGGTCATTCTAGAAACGTCCGTAGCCCCAGTATTATTCTGAAGTAAGGACACAGATAATACGGTAAGGCTATCATAGTGTTGAACAACCTTGTCGAAAGGTAGTGACTGATCTCACTTGTCAAGGTCGTTTGGTGACAACCTGGTGCAACACATGGGTGCTTGTTGTAGGCAAATATACCGCATCAAGTTCATTGGACTGACCCACCAGAAGATTCCATATGGATGGTAACCCCAGTGTCTATGGAACAAATCCTCTAACGAATGGTGGTGCATGTGATACTTAGACTTGAGATCACCGGAGNTATAGGGTTTGAAACAGTGTCATTACTAAAACCCCCAACTTTTGGTCATTAACTTAATAAACCCATTAATAATTCCATTAAAAAATTAGTCAAAAGAATTAAATAAAAGATTAGTTAAAACCTTTCACAGTGGATGTAATCAATTTAAGTACAATCTTTCATGAAATAATCGAAAAGGACACAGGTTTCATTATGTTCAATTTATGGACGATTAATTGTAATTTACGGTTAACTTTTAACGGTGAATAACAAACAGACTTACGTACCCCTAGTTATTTAATTAGTTTTATTTTTTGAATTTTAAATTTAAGAACTACAAAAATATAGTTAAGAATTAAGAAAATTCGTCTGACTTCAAAGTTTAAATATTAAAAATGATAATGAAATAAGAAAAAAATTGATAAAAGAATTTAAACAAAAAATAGAAAAAACGGTTTTAAATATAAAAAAAAAAAAAAAAAAAAAAGCTCACAAAAAATTTTATATAAGAGAAAGAACAACCATTTTTATTTTTAAATTTGAAAAATTAAAAAGTAAATTTAAAACATAAAATCAAAATTAGAAAAGGAAAAGCTTCTGCTAGTTACGCAGCTGGCATGAGGCTTTTCCTTTAATTTATTTATTTTTTAGTTCTTTTAAGTATTAATTTTATTATTTCTTTAATTTGACATTTTCAACACGTTTCAACATTTCATTGGATGAAATTATTTTAGTTGACTCTGTTTTTCTTTTTCTTTTTTCTTTTTTTTTTTTATAATTACTTACATAATGTGTAGTTACCAAATTCGTCCTTATTTTTTGTTAAGTGTAATTGCTATTTAATGTCCCTAAATTGAAAAAAAAAAAAAAAAAAAATGATTGCACCTAAATTTGATTATATCTGTTGACTTTATAATGAAAGTAAGGAGTTATCATAATTTCTGGTCCTCCAAGGCGAAGGAAATCAAATGCTGCTGTTATTTATTAACACACTAGTGTTCAGAGTATTAATCCTTTTGTTTTGGTCTCACTTTATGCAACCATTTACAAATTTTACATATAAAAACCACCATGCAATAGTACATGATTATATAGTATTTACTACACTTAAAAAGGCTATACAATTGAAGGATTAATACCTGCAACTTATTATTCTACCTTATTCCCTTCAAGCTACTGAAATGGCAATTAAATGCCATGCTGCCCGCCCCTTATGCATGGAGACACAACTTATGCCAACCTCAAAATTTGTAGCTATACTAATGATCGACGCCTTCATTGATATATACATATATACATGCAAACCTGTTCGGGGATTTACAAATTCTTTAGGGCTGAGTATGCAGAAATATGAATGTTGCAGCATTCTGCGTCCCACGAGAAGTCTCGTGACATGGCATCGATGATTTTTTGCTTCCATGTAGATGGGCTGTTCTTCTGCACAACAACAGAACAATTTTCAAGAAATGAAAAATAGAGAGGTTTTCTAGGTGGCTAATCAATTAATTATTTTGAGATTACATGAGAATATATTACAGCTTTGCATAAAAAAACACTCACAATTTCGTTCAAAGCCTGGCTTAGGGTCATATTTCCGAAGGTAGAGTTGATAAACTGTGAAAATTTAGTGGTCTCAATATCTAGAAAATGCCTGTCAAGACAATAAACACAACACATGAATCTTTCCACTTTTCAGCGTGAAGCAAAAATTGATGATAATTTCAATAACTTCAAATATATTAACATAGTTACCTGAATCTGATATCATCCGAGGCCACTGAAACTGGAGCAGCACCATATTTTAGGGCCTTGAGCTACATTATTTAAATTAAAGGGACAACAGATTTTAGTACTCAAACATATGATAGATAGCAGCCTAACATAGTAAATCTGAAAANAATGATATGATAGCAAAGGATCAAAATATCTCCTCATCTTTCAACTCACATTAATAATAATTGAGGTTTATTTTACATCTTATGATATTCTCAATATACTACGGAAAAAAAACCAAGGCGTCGTTTCAAAAAAATTAATTTTACTAAACATATTTTATAAACTTTTTTCTTTTCTTTTCGTAATAAAATTATAAAACTAAAACCCCACTAGAGAAAACGCATTGTTTTGTTTGTGTTTCTTTCTGTTCAACGAAAGCGAGGACGTTTCTCTCACTCACCACGTGCTGGTATTCTCTCTTTCTCTTTCTGATTTTCTTGCTTTCTGCTTACCGTAGATCGCTTCAGCTCCTGTTTGATCGGTTTTCTACATTTTAATTTACCAATCGTTAGTCATTTTTATTTATGGGTTTAGTGTAGATTTAAGCTCTTGGTGAAATGGTGAAAACCCAGTTGCAGAATTAGTATCTTTTTTTTTTTTTAGCTGTCTCTTTGTCGTGCACTCGTATTTTAAGAGATGGGTTTCTGTATTTATGTCATTTGGTTGATGTTTTACCTGTGATTAAGAGCTTTTTGAAATTGAAACTACCAACGATTTCAGTGTATTTAGTTCTTAAAGCTTCTCTTTTTTTCCTTTCTTCGTCTAAATGGGATAATCAGAAACTTTGAAAAAATAAGCAGTAATTGCTTTTTTTGTTTGGAGTTTTTGATAAATTATAGGGAAAAAGTAGTGCAAGAGATTGTGGTTCTAATTTGAAGAACTGAGACTTAGGTTTACTGTCATGAAAATGATATAAAATCTTCAATTTGTTTCTCACTGAAGTCTGATGTTGAAACTAGCTAAATTGTTACTGTACAAGTAATCAATTTGTGTGTTGGTTTGGTTTTCTCAACTGTGATTTTGATGCTGGGGATACAGAATAGCCAGTTTTTACTGAAGTTGCAGTCCTTAAAAAGGAAATGTCATGAGTTTTCTGCATCAGTTTTATATTTATTTCTTTCTCTTTTCGAAAATATGAAACTATTTAGGAAATCTTCAAAAAAAGATGGGCATAGTATAACTGTTTTTCCCTGTATTTGTTGCATTAGTTTGTGGTAGTGGCTGTTTATATTGATGATTCTGTTTTTGTGGTGGAAGTGTAGGTATAATGGAGGGCGCAGCTGCAAATCAGCTTCCTGAAGTAGATTCATTGCCAGATGGGTTTGTTGATAGCCCCACAGAAGCTCTAGCTCCTGCAACACCAACTTTAGAACAAGAAAACTCGCTTGGTGATTACAAGGATGAGGGTTTTGTGGAATTAGATCATTCAAATGAATCGACACATGAGTTGGCATCAGAAGAGTTTCAAACAAGCAAGGGTAGGACAGAGAAGACTCAGAAACTGAGAACTTTTCCTGTTCCATTATCTGAAATGGATAATTTCGATGCTTCAGTGGACTTAATCAAAATGCCTAATAAGGGTTCAGTGGAGGAAACAGACGGTATGCCGGCCATGCCTACAGCAGTTGCTTCAGTTTCGGAGGCTTCAGCTGGGATATCTGGATGCAGCGAGGTAAAAGGCCAAGTTCAAGGGGAATGTCAAAATACAAAGAGATGTAATTATATTCAACTTGAATGCAATTTCCTACTTTTCCTTCTAAATAATACACTGCATATAAGTGTTTGTGGCTGCCCGTTTTACCTTTTTATCGGGAGAATGTACAGCACACTGACTTGATACAGCATATTAGATCAGATGCTTTATGAAGCATTATGGTAATTTTGCAGAAAGAATGTACGGGAAACTCCAAAAAGTAAGATGAGGTGGTTTTTCCCTCCACCCTGGGAGGTAGGGGATATTTGACATTGATAGAAGGTGTAGACAGAGTACTACTAACATTCATCTCTCCGATCATTTATCCTGACTTTTCTTTTTAAATAAATTATTTTATATTATAGTTGAAAGCAGGAATGACCAAATGAATGTGTGTTATGTCAAACGATTAGAATATATACTGACAGTTATTAAACCCTTGAAACGATTTTGGTAGACACATCTGAAAAGCTTGATATACTTCCAAAGAATTGATGCTTTAGGTGATTGGCTTTTGTATTAGAATGACAAAAGGAATTGAGTTGAATATAGTTGGATTTCTGAAGGCACCAACTTCTTGAAGGATCTTAGAAGTAAAGTATTTTAATTTAGGCCATGCATCCAGAGAATTGTTCATACATATGCATCTCTATCAATATGTCTTTGTATTTCTGTTTTTTGACATTTTCAAAATGTACCCTATTTCATTCATTTTGTAGCAATTGAAGGAAGATCAGATGCGCAGGGAACCCGTACAAAGGAGTTATCTGCATCAGAAAGTGATGATTCTTTGAAAAGCAGAAAACCGGTTAATAATATTTTCGTACTTTGATGTTATTTTTCTATAGATCTGTATGATGATCTACAGAGTTTTTATTTTTTGGTTAGTTTTAAGCATTCACTTTTGAACCTGTCATATTTTCCCATTTTGAGTATTGTGGGTGTATGAATTTACTCTTCATTTTTTGATTGTTTTCAAATTTCAAAATGTAGTTCACTAGCTTAAATAGTTTACTTTGTGGTTGTGCAGGAAAACACCGAAACCAAACGTAAGAGTACAAAGCGCACTTTTAAATCCGAAACTGAGTTTCTTGAATTCACTCTGAGATATCAACAAGTTCTTGCCGAAAGAGATGCAGGTAAGTTATCCTTTGGCTTTGCTTTTACAACTTTTGTGATAGTTGAGATGAACCCTGATTGCTACGGTGCTTGTTCAGAGGTTTAATCATATGATATATCTGGTGCATATGGGTAAAAGGGACATCGTTTATTATTTTATAGTCTTTGTTATAAAGTAAGGTTTTCTATCAATGAATTGCTGTTAAGATGATGTAATTCCATTTGGGCGTGCTGAGAAGAAGACTTGTAAAAATCCGTCAAATGAGATTGATGTATTGCAAAGAGTCTGGAAATTAGAGATACCATTATGTGATATTATGGAATATTCTTTTGTTGTATAAAATAGATTTCCTTTTAACCTTATATAAACTGTGCAGAGAGATTGTAATACTAACTTGTTATTTACTTGTTGAAAAATTTGCTTGGTCAGAAGCATGTATACTTTATTGACTTGTATCCTAATACATTATTATTGACGTTGAAGGTAGACGATATCATTTCACTGATTTCACCCTTTTTATTTTCTATTTGTAGCTATTGCTGTTAGAGATAAGCTAGAGTCTCTTTGTAGAGAATTACAACGTCAGAACAAGATGCTAATGGTATACTTTTTCACGATCACTTTTCTTCCCATGGAGTAATTTAAATTCTATGAAATATTCTCTACTTAAGTTAATTTCCCTTACCAATTTGGTATGGGAAGTTGTACAGTGACCCATAATCATCCTTCTAGCTATTTGTCGGTTTCATGGAGAATTGATGCTTGCTCACTATTGCACAGGATGAGTGCAAGCGGGTATCAACAGAGGGACAGAACTTGAGACTAGATTTATCAGCCAAGTTTCAAGATGCAATCAAGGTTTAATTTATGGTCTTCACTAGTTGAGAATGTGTGAATTATTCTTTACGTCTTGCTTTTCTGTCCTGCTTTAACCTAGTGTAGCATATAAGCTATAAGCATATGAATGCATGATTGTTCTCAAATTTTGTTGTTCATGTTTATTTGAGCATTCTATGTGGCATGTGTTCTAAATGCTCAGTTTAAGTTAACTCTTACCTCTAAAATTAATTGATTAGTTAATTTGTTATATCTGTCTGCGCAGGCTATAAAGTAATAAGGTGAGAACTCCAATTGCTTGATGCTAACATGAATTGGAGAGTGCCTGTTACCTTGGTTTCTTGAATTTTTTATTTTTAAATTGGTTTTCCTATGATGTTATTTTATTATATTTTTTCACTCTCTTACTGGGGCTTATGGTTCTCTTCATGCGTTTTTCTCTTTCCATTTACATTTTCTTTTTCCAATTTATGCTCATTTCTGTAATGTTTGTTTCTTTTTGTTGTAGGATGTTAGCGTTAAGCTAGATGAGCAAAAGGATGAGTGTCTTACTCAGCTAAAGGAGAATGAGATGTAAGAACAAGAGAATTCAGGCGAAGTTTTCAATTTTATTTTGTTTTTTGAATTTTATCTCACCCCTATATTTTGTCTAGCTGTTATTTACTCTTATTTTTTATGTCTAGGTTGAGAAATAATCTGAAGCAGCTAGCTGATCAGTATGCCCTTACTGAACAACAATATGGACAGAAGGTTTAGATTAACTTTTACTTGTTTATCTGATGTTTTTTGACTTAGGCTTCTTGACTTATTGATTGATGTTATATTGCTGTGGACTTTGGATGCATAGTTAAAGCAGAAAACCCTGGAACTTCAGCTTGCTGAATTAAAAATTAAGCAGCATGAAGAGAAACTAGTTCAGGAGCAGTCCCAAATGAAATTATATGCTGAGCAGGTATCCCAATTACTGGCTACCGAAAAGAATTTGCGCTTGCAGTTGACTGCTGACGGAGAAAAATTCCAGCAATTCCAGGTCTACCTCATTTGAGTTCATTGCCTTAAAATAATGCATAAAAACCTTACTGACCACATTTTGATGATAGTTGCATAGGAGACATTCTTTTGTCTCTCTCACCTAGCATTCTTAAATATCTCTATAAAATAATAATATGATAATAAGAGCTAAAGGATTTATTTTGGGATGTTGGATAATCAATTAAATTTAATTGTATTTGGGTGGTTGGATGTGTAACCTTTTTGAAATTTTGTCCTCGTGACATGTATAATGCAAGGGTTGGTTGTTCTGACTTCTTAGCATGGTGTCAGAATTAGGGCTGTTAACGAGCCGAGCCGAGCCGAGTTTTTGGCTTAACGAGCTCGGCTCGTAAAAAAGAAAAAGGATTCAAGCCGAGTTCGAGTCGAGCCGAGCTTTTAATTTCTTGACTCGACTTGACTCGTAAATTAAAAAAAAAAAAAAATCGAGTTGGCTCGCGAGCCGGCTTGCGAACCAAATAAATAACATGTATTTTTTTTTTTTAAATTCTGCGCAGGCGTGCAGCTTTTATCCTTCCTCATTTATTACTCTTTCTTTTCTCTCTCGCTCATTTATTAGTCTCTCTTTCACTTCTTTCCTCTCTAATTTATTATTGATGTGCCTTCTTTTCTCTCTCCGGACTCCAATGGCAATGGTTCACGTTTCTCTCTCTCTCTCTCTTTTTTTTTTTTTTTCCCTTTCTCCCTGTTTCCCTTGCTCTCTCCAGTCTCCACAACTCTGTTATTCTCTTCCTCTTCTCTTTTGTTACTTATTAGTTATTACTCTTTGCTTTCTGTTATTTTCTCTCTCTCTAATGACGCTTGTTTCTCCTCTTTTCTCTTTCTTTCCTTCCTTCTCCTTTTTTCTTATTTTCTCTTTCTTTCTTTCATTCTTTCTCCTTGTTTCCCTGGCACTCTCCAGTCTCCACCAATTCTGATTTCTTTCCTTCTTTTTTCTCCTTGTTTCCCTGCACTCTCCACTAAATCTGACACCGACTACCTAAAATGGTTTGGTTTAGTTTGGTTTTAGGGGAAAGGATATTAGTAGCGTTTTTAGAGATTTTAACATGGGGGTGTGCTTTGTTAGTTTTTCAAACTTTTTGTTTTAAAAATTTTAGTTTAATCCCTTATACTTAATAAAACTCTTAAAGCGCCCCTAATAATTCGAGCCTCACTTGGCTCGCGAGCCTAACGAGCCGAGTCGAGGCAGGCTCGAACTCAGCTAGTGCTCTCTCACGAATCGAGCAGAGCCGGCTCGATTCCAGACGAGGCGAGCCGTTAACGAGTCGTACTCGAGCCGAGCCGAGTCGGCTCGCGAGCGACTCGCCTCGTTGAACAGCCCTCGTCAGAATCATTGTTTCTTTGAGTTAGAGATGGATTTAATCCAAGTGCTTGTTCAAGTAGTCATGGGATATTTGTACGACATTTCACATTAATTCAATTTAATGCATGGTCTCATTAAGTATCTACTGTGCATGTGTAAAGCAGTCTCTTAATTAGTAGATACATAGTAAAGTTATCAAAGAATATTTTATCTGGTTATCTTGTGCCAGAAGTGAATAGCTATTTGACTCTGTAGGATGCATTGTTGAAGAGCAATGAGGTCTTCGAAACATTTAAGCAAGAGATTGAAAAGGTAAAATTTTACTTTTTTTAAAGATTAGATATATGGATTTAAGGCTTGGTTTTCATGATTGCATGATGCTAATGTACCATTTTTATTTCTTTGTACGTAAACACTAGATGGCAAAATCAATCAAGGAACTGAAGAAGGAAAATGTATTCTTGAAGAGCAAATGTGAGAAATCAGATGTTACACTTATAGAACTTGTTGAGGAGGTTAGTTGTTTTTGCATTTTCTTGATCTTATCTTTCTCTTTTTCCCTTTTACTGTAAAGACTGAACCCTGAACACCCTCCCACCCAAAGACCATCTGCCCTCTATATGCTAGGACCATTGTGGCTTGGATTTTTAAAAAGTAATTTTTTCCCTTTTAGAATATCTATGCCATATAACACTATCCCTCGTGCTTAAGCTTCATGTAATGAGTGCAGAAATTGTTGGAGAAAACTTCTGTTATTGTTGCCATTGAAGTTTGTTGCGCTGATTTTATTGCTAGTTAATTCCTTTTAACGACGACAAGTCTTGTCTGAGGTGGTTCTTCTTGCCACCATCGTTGGTCTTTCTGCATGAAACAGGGCAATCATGGACTATTGTTCTAATTGGTTTCGCTGACATACACTATCACATCTTTTTCCTACGTTCCCCCCTTTGGATTGAGATATGCTTTTTATATCTTATTGTTAAATTATATAGTACTTAAAACTCTTTCTTTGTCCAACCAGCGTGAGAGAATGAAGAAACAATTGGAAAAATCCAAGAATCAGAAAGAAAAACTTGAATCATTGTGCCGATCACTTCAGGCAGAAAGGAAGCAAAATACTGTCAGAAGCAACAGCTCTGATTCAGTTCCAGTATAAATCCCAACGGATTGTACCGTCTTACAATGAATTTTGTAACTACCATGATGAATTACATGCCATATTTTGTCGTATCTATGACTTCTGCTTTGAGATGAAGCATTGGAGATCTGTAACTTGTTTGAATATAATGCATTCTTCAGCAATCATTGTATTATTCAGCATTTTATATATGTTGCTTCTTCACCTGTGCTTTCCTTGAACGAGTTAAGGTTAAATCAGGACTTTAGGCATGAATTTATGTGTTAAATAACAAAGCCGGCCATGCCAGGCTAGCCTGAAGAGCGCGGTTGAAAGCTTGTTTAATTTTCAAAAATATTAGTGCCTGATTTCTTCCATGACTTGCTTTATGCTGATCTGACTCTATGAGATTGATTTTTAAATTTTCCATTTAAATGTTTTTATTATTATTATTATTATTATTTTTTAATTCAATGTTAGTTTCTAATCTTGTGACATAGAAGAAGTCAGCAGCATATAAGATACGAGGTTTTGACCATCTTGCTTTTTGTTTGTCTCAGGCTTATATGAAATAATATCAGATTCAAAGAGTGGGGCATTGTCCATTCTTGTTCTTTCACTGTTTCTAATGTTTTTCTTGATTATAGGCAACCCATTGAGCATAAACATTTGTACAATTGGAATATATTGAACTGAATCACGTGAAATTTTTACAATCCTGGGAATCGGTACTAAGCTTTCGACAATCAGATTTCAAACCTTGGGTGAATTTTCATTCCCCTGAAAGGCCATTTATTATATATATATTTTGGTGATAGATGTTCAGGTCAACTTGTATGCATCTCAACAAATTTGGAGCAAGCCTCTTAATGGCCACCGTTATTAGGGTCCGTGGGGGCTCGAATTTAGAAAAGCTCATAGAATCTTCTTTTGTTCTTTTAGTATCTGATCATCCATTTGTGGTTTATAAAATTTCAATTACATTGTAATGGTACAAAAAATAAGTTAACCTCGACAACTTTATTTGAAGGTGATAGTTTATAAAGACAGTAGTTTCAATTGTAATTTTTTTTTATTTTTCATTTTTATGATTGGAGATATCCAGACAATTTATGCGTATCTTAACTAATCCTCCAGGACTTTAGAATTACTAGTTAGATAAGAGTTCGAGTGATTATCCATATTAACAATCGAGAAAGGACTTGAAATCATGACTTTTTGAGTAATACATTTAAGAGTTTCTATCGAATCATCCGACGGCCGAGAATTTTACCCATCATTACTTCTAGATTGAAACTTGGTGGATCAGGTGTCCAAATAACATTTGAGCATTGATTATTTTTAATAACTTTGTTTCATGCTTGTCTTGTTAGTTTTTGAATTGATTTCAAAAACTAACAAGACAACCACTAAACGAAGTTAGGCATGGCAATGGGGCGGGGATCTCATTCATCGTACCTATCCCCACCCTCAAAATCATTCCTCACCCCCGCCCCATCCCCGTTACGGGGATGACAAGAATTCCCCTTCCCCGCCTCAAAGGGGAATGTTGGAGGCCCGTCCCTGTCCCCTTAATTTTATATAAACATAAATAAATTTGAGCATTACCAAACACAATAGTTAATTCTCGTCTACATGACAAACACTTAAATTAATCGTTTAAACATAATTAATCATACATAAATATGGGTCAGGGTTTGTTCTTGTTTAATTGTTTAGGGTGAGGGAAATTAGGAAAATATGGGTTTATATAGGTAGAATAATTGTATAATTAGGTGAAATATAAGGATATTAGTGAAACGTAAATATATATATACATTTTTTTAATTTTATATATTATATACGGGGCGGGTCGGGGGAAAGGCATCACCCACCCCTGCCCCATCTCCGAGAATGGGGATTAAAACACCCCCCACCCCCGCCCCTATCCCTGAAAAAACCGGGGCTTCCCCGCCCCATATGGGGCGGGGCGGGACGGGTCCCCGAAATCCCGGGAAACATTGCCATGCCTAAACGAAGTTAATATTTGTGCCAAAAATGAAATTAACCTCTACTTAAATTGTAATCAAAAGGTTTCCTATATAAAAAAAAAAAAATAATAAAAAATTACGTTTATCACTTATCCACCAAACTCTTGAAAACAGATTTGGTCTTTTAAAAACAGTTTTGATAGAATTTGAAATACTTGTATTAGCAATAAAAACACACAACAAGAACAAACTAATGGATTCCACTTGATCCATGATATGATAAAGCAGAATCTAAACAACACCCCTAAACATAGATAAATAAACAAACTCCAATAAACCGTCTTATTACTTTTCATTTTTTGCATTTTCACCCTCATCTCTCTTATGGACGAACCCGCCAATCATCGCAATACCGGTTATGGTGGAGTTGTTGATACAAGGCAGGCAGAACGAACAATGCTTCTAATGAAATGTCCTGCATTGGTCTCTCGCTCTTTTCAGCCTCCTTCCAATGGCCCTTCTCGCCATGTGGCCAAACTTTTCATCTCCATCGACCCCCTTCTGCCCATGGATGACAAAACTTCTTCTCAGGTTTTTTTTATTTTTATTTTTATTTTTATTAAGAGACAGTTGCATTGTGTTTATTTTTAAAGATTTTTCTTTTGTTTCTTTGCATGCATTTGTTGTGTTCCTGATTTGTTTTTTGGTTTATTTTCTCGTATTGTTTTGGGGACAAAATTAACATGCATTTGATCTTGAAGTTGAACTTTTATTTCTTACTGAGTTGTGTTTTTTTTTTTTTTTTTTTTTTGGGGGGGGGGGGGGGGGGGGGGGGGTGGTGGGGTGTGTGTGGGTTATTGGGGTGTTTGAACTCTGATTCGTTTTATTGGTTCTCTTATATTTACTGGATTTGGGTTTTATTTTTTTACTTTTCTGGTGTCTTGCTTTCAGTTTATGATTTTTCAATGGTTTGTGCTTGAGCTTTACAGTACCACAAATTTTATGCCTCTTCAGTGTAAAGTTGAAAGTATACAGAGGCTCATAGCACAAAACACAGTAGAAAGATAACAGAAAATTTGTGGCCATTTAGAGCTTGAATCATTCAGTTCAAAGAATTGTTGAAATGTTGTCTCATTGATTTTAGATATATGTTATAAGCTATAGCAGTAATATATATCCTTTTATTCTCAACCGTCTTAGGCGAATAATTTGAAAGATAATGAGTTCTATGGAATTGATTGGCCCTGAATCTGGATTTGCACCCAAACATTATGGAAGGACAAGTCTGAAGTTGTCCAATGTGTGCATTTTCCGAATCCACACAAGGTAACCAGGTGTGCTTTTGTTCGGTATTACTTCTATGCAGTTCATTAACAACGCTTCGCTTACCACAATCTTTTTTTTACCCAGTTTCAGTATTTTTGTGAAGTTTAATTTCTTTAGTTAACTTCAGTAGTTCACAGCCACGACCTCTTTAATAGTATCACTTTGTGGGCGAAGACCTCTCTAAACTTTCAAATTCTTTGGAAGCTATGATAACTTTTAGACTGAATTCCGTAAACATCACTGACATTAACAAGAATGTTATACAACTACTCACAAGGTCTCTTGACTGAATGTACATGAATGCCAATTTATTACCTCCTCCTTCGAGCGAACACATCATCTATTGGGTCATTCAAAGTTTATGATTGTCAGATTCTGCAATATAAAACTCTTTTTTCTCATATTGTTGTAATAGGAATTTATAATCAATACAATTTTTGGGTGCCCCATTAAGACAATATGTCGCAGAAATCCAATTCATTTGATTTGTGTCAAATCAAGACCAAAATTCAGTTTCCCTTTGGGGCTGTGATTTCTTTTTTCATGTGCATTTGGTCAAGTATTTAATTACTAACTCGCATGCTTGATTAACATTTTCTGTTTTTGATGTTTCTTTAAAAGATATTAGAAGTTAGCTCAAGAATGTACTAGGTGTAAAATCCTTTTGCATTCAGGGAAGATTTCTATGAGGGAAACATATTGAAGTTGGACATGAGACCTCTTCATGAAACATGGAAAAACTGGAAAACGCTGCCGTGAACGAACAAAAAAGTATACGACCAAAAGTAGACAGATACAGGTCTCTTATCATTCTTTGTATTTGTACTGGGAACTTCTCATTGGTAATGTACTCAAAGTTTCCCTTGTTTCTTGATCTTCTCCTTGTTTTTTTTAGGTCATTGATAATGACACTGGAAGTCATATGCGACCTATGCCAGGGATGATGATTCCTCTTGGATTTACTGTAATTTGGCTAACTTTTAATGTCAACAGAATTGTGTTTTTCTGTTTTTCCTTTTCTCCTTTTTTTTCTTCTTCTGAATACATTTGACGAACAGAATATATCTAAAGGGAGCTGTTTGTTTGCAATAGGAAAAGAAGAAAGCCCCGGCTAAAGCGTCTGAAGTGAAAAGAACAAGAAGGGACCGTGGAGAGATGGAAGATATTATGTTTAAGCTCTTTGAAAGGCAATCCAATTGGACTTTACGACAGCTAATTCAAGAGACAGATCAACCTGAAGTATGTATTTTGATCGTTTGATCATACATTACTTTTAGATGCTGGCTTGAGTTTTTGATGCCATTTACTGTCATTTTAACTAAAAATAAACAAATAACTTTGCGGTATTCCAGCCATTTAAAATGAACCTTTATTTTTGTTTTTTCAGGATTTTGTTCTGACCTTTTATTTTTGCAGCAATTTCTGAAAGACATTCTCAAAGAACTTTGTGTTTACAACAACAAGGGAACTAACCAGGGCTCGTATGAGCTGAAGCCAGAATACAAGAAACACGGCGATGAATCAACTCCTAAATAGGTTCTTAGTATGCCTTTGATTAATTACTTCGTTAAGTTATCGATTCAAGCTACTTTCTTGTCCATAAAATATTTTCTTTTATGTATTTTTCTGTAAGCAGTATTCAGGTATATTTTCAAATGCAATAGAGAAATTTTGAGATACAAACAATGAGTCTTTCTATTTTCTTAGGTTTAATTTTCAAACCCTCGTTGATGGAGGATATTCTTGTTCAAGATCTTTGTGTCCAAATTTTGCAATATATGGTTGAAGCAAAACTGTTGACATTTGCAATTTGTTTTATGTCATGAATCCTAGCTCAGCACCATTATTATTATTATTAGAGTAAACGACATATTCCCACCCAAGGTTTGACGAAATCCCAAGTTGGTACCATAGGTTCCATTTATTTTAGATTCTCACCCTTAAAGTAACAGGAAATGGTTAGATATAACGGTTCAGGGGTAAATCGGTCATTTCACAGAGGAGGCGCACATTAACAGATCGTCGCTCCTAACAAAAATCCGGCGCGCGTTAGCAATATCACTGCCGTCGTTTTTCGCTGTTTTCCGGTGATTCTTCCACCCAAAATCACCCTTGTCACCACCATTCGAACCCTCATCCTCCCATCTACAAAACCATACCCTTGACAACCCCTCATCGCCCGTCGATCTCCAGCCACGACAGCCGCCACATGCGACTGGTTTTCATCGGTGTCCACCGGTGAATGGTCATTAAACGGTTGTTGGGACATAGGGGTTTTGTAGATTAGGAGACGCCAGTTGCAATGGTGACGATGAACTAGAATCCGACGAAGAATGACGAAAACCTAAGCTTGACGGCACCGGCGATCGGAGGGCCCAATGAGTAGGGAACTAGAGGGGTTTTGGACGACGGATGATGGGGAAGGTGATGGAGGTGACCAGGGCTTTCGCCGGCATCGGAAATAGCCCAGATTTGGTGAAAACCGAGACAATGCACAATCACTGAGGGTGTAATTGATGTAATTTCAAAATAAGATGGTTAATTTTATAATTTTAGTAATTTAGGGGTTAAAATATAATTTATTAATTTAGGGTTAAAGGGCATTATGGTAATTGCACCCTCACTATCCTAAAAAATGTTAACAGTGTTATTTTAAGGGTGGGAATCTGGAATAAATGGAACTTGTGGTACCAATTTAGGATTTCGTTAAACCTTGGATGGGAATATGTCGTTTACTCTTATTATTATTATTATTATTATTTTTTTTTTTTTTTGGCCAAGGGTGTTCGGATCAATTTGATCAAGCTCTGAAGTTAACAATTGGGTAAGTCTCTAATGGCCACCATTATTAAGGGTTGAGATGAATCGAACTCATAATTTTTTGAATAATATACCCAAGAGTCCTAGCTGATTATTCAACCATCCAATGGTGGTTTTAACACCACTATGTTTGTTTCTATAAATATCAGCAGTACTTTTAATTATTTTAGTGGGGATTGTTGAGATTTAACTTAAAAATTAAAAATCTCACATCAATTATGAATTATAGGGCATATTAGGTAATGGAGAACAAAATCTTATCAATAACATTACCAAATAAAACTATGTGTATTAGGAATTTCAAATTTTCAATGTTAGTACTTGGATTAGTACACATTGGTTAGTGCATATAACATTACTCAACATTACCCCACCCATTTTAAAAAATAAAGACTAGGTTCAGGGGATAACCTAACCCAAACTCTATGACACATTTAAGATTATATATGACAACATAGTATATGAAAAAAAAATACTTTAAAAATCTCAGAATTAATCCAATCTTTTAAGTTTTTAAATTTCATAATAATAAAAATTAATATGCCAAGTATATTCTATTGGTTAGATTTTATTTGGATGTGGTTCTAGAATCAATATTATTTACGACCTTTTTTGTTTTGTTTTGTTTCAAGTAAAATTGTGGCTCAGGCTGCCCACGCCACGCACAGAGAGAGATATTAATGGTCATGTTTGGCTCCTCGACCCTGAGTCCTGACCCACCCAAGTCGATGTGACCTGTGATGGTTCCATTTTTATACCCAAAAAAGGAAAATATGATAAAATAGTAATAAAAATCAATGTCAATATCATCTCACGATAAAAACAATGGTATGATTCTAGTTCTAGAGCATCATCCATGACGTTTATGTAACCAACTATTCAATTTCTTTTCATCTCTCCTTTTTACTATATTTATTAAGTAATAATAGGGTTATTTACACTACAGCCTCTAGGCGTGGCTGAGCACCCGCTAGTTTCACTATTAAAGTAAACCCCATTTTTACATTCAGTAAACACATTTTCCCACACCAAGGTTTGGCATATCTGCAAGTTCCCACCCATGGTTTCATAAATGTAGATTCCTACCCTTAAATTAACACGGTTACTTTTCTTTAAATAACCCCTATACCTCAAATTTCTCTCAAATAACCCCCAAGAAGATCTTGGCCAAGCCAAAAATCTGGCTGATTCTAGTACCATTGGACTCCTCAACACCACATCAGCATCCCCTTATCTCTTCACCAGAACCTCTAACTTTTCACTCGATTGCAAACTCGACAAGGTGGCAGAATTTAGTTGGAAAGGCATGACAAAACACAAAACCTAAGGGAGAGGTTGCGACGATCAGTCTGTAATTGCGGTCTGCGATGTTGAGGGTTTTGATTGGGGGGGGGGGGGGGGGGGGGGGAAGCGTGGTGATGCTATTGGTGGTGTTAGGGGTGGTTTTTTATGTTGGGACCTACCGAAATTTGGATGAAATGCCGACTAAAACTAATAGCGGTGGCTGGCGATTGGGGGGGGGTACAATCAGGCAGGGAGGTTAGAGGTTTTGATGTGGGGGTTGAGGGGATTGTAATGGTGGTGTAGGAGGGGTGACGTTGTGTCGGCAGTAGGCCAGAATCACCTGAAATCGCCTGTGGGGTGAATTTGAGAAGTCAAGGGTTATTTTGAAATGACCATTTTATCCTTTTAACTGTTGGATTAAACAGTTTTTTGTTAATTTAAAGGGTGAGAATCAGCAATTTATGAAACTATGGGTGGGAACTGGGAGATTTGCCAAACCTTGGGTGGGAAAATATCGTTTACTCCCTATAAAATAATGAAATTAGTGGGTGCTCAAAAATTAGATCAAACCTATGGGGGTTTATTGTAAATTACCCGTAATAATATAATGGGTAAATTTCATTTGCATCTCAGACGCCTGAATGACTTTTAGGAAGTATAAAAATCTTAGGGGTGTTCAAAAGAATTGGTTGGAACTGGAACCGGTGGGTACCCAGGGTTTGGTTCCGGTTCCTACCCGGAACTGGTTGTCAACGGGTAGGTTCTGACTGTCAACAGATAGGTTTCGATTCCAAATTTTTGGAACCGTTACTGTATTGTTTCGATTTCCGCTCCTATAGTTAAGAACCAGAACCGGAATCGGAACCGGGAACCGAGATTAATATAAAATAAAATTAAAGAGTAGAGGGGTTAATAAAAACTTTCGTAGAAAAAGTAACGTGAATACATATATATATATATATATATATATATATTTCATAATATTTAAAGTAAGTTAGTTTGACTTTTGAGAATCTACCTTTACAAAGTAATGGAGTTTGTAATTTTGAATTTATAATTTGTAATTTTATTTTATTAACAAGTGCCAGGTAGGGGGTATTTATAAGTTTTTAAAGGTTTTTTTACCATTTTAAAAACTTTTGGGGGGTCATTGTAATTTTATAGGGTATCCAAAACCAGAACCGAAATCGGAACCGTTGTTACAGGTTTTGGTTCTGGGTACCTAAGAACCGAAACTGTCGGTTCTGGTTCTGGTTCCAAATTTTAAGGAACCGTCGGGTCCAGTTCCTTAAAAAAATGTAGGGTACCTGGAACCGAACACCCCTAAAAAATCTTTCTATTAAGAGGTTCTTTTAAAGGTTTTTGATAATTTTATAGAAATATTTATTATTTCTCAAAGAAAGCCCCGGCTAAAGCATCCGAAGCGAAAAGAACAAGAAGGGATCGTTTGAGAGATGGAAGATATTATGTTTAAGCTCTTTGAAAGGCAATCCAATTGGACTTTACGACAACTAATTCAAGAGACAGATCAACCTGAAGTATGTATTTTGATCGTTTGATCATACATAACTTTTAGATGCTGGCTTGAGTTTTTGATGCCATTTACTGTCATTTTAACTAAAAATAAACAAATTACTTTGCAGTATTCCAGCCATTTAAAATGAACCTTTATTTTTGTTTTTTCAGGATTTTGTTATGACCTTTTATCTTTGCAGCAATTTTTGAAAGACATTCTCGAAGAACTTTGTGTTTACAACAACAAGGGAACTAACCAGGGCTCGTATGAGCTGAAGCCAGAGTACAAGAAACACGGCGATGAATCAACTCCTAAATAGGTTCTTAGTATGCCTTTGATTAATTACTTCGTTAAGTTATCGATTCAAGCTACTTTCTTGTCCATAAAATATTTTCTTTTTTGTATTTTTCTGTAAGCAGTATTCAGGTATATTTTCAAATGCAAAAGAGAAATTTTGAGATACAAACAATGAGTCTTTCTATTTTCTTAGCTTTAATTTTCAAACCGAGACAGTGCACAGTTACTGAGGGTGTAATTGATGTAATTTCAAAATAAGATGGTTAATTTATAATTTTAGTAATTTAGGGGTTAAAATATAATTTATTAATTCAGGGTTAAAGGGCATTATGGTAATTGTACCCTCACTATCCTAAAAAATGTTAACAATGTTATTTTAAAGGTGGGAATCTGAAATAAATGGAACATGTGGTACCAACTTAGGATTTCGTTAAACCTTGGGTGGGAATATGTCGTTTACTCTTATTATTATTATTATTTATTTTATTTTTTTTGGCCAAGGGTATTCGGGTCAACTTGACCAAGCTCTGAAGTTAACGATCGGGTAAGTCTCTAATGACCACCATTATTAAGGGTTGAGATGAATCGAACTCATAATTTCTTGAGTAATATACCCAAGAGTCCTAGTTGACTATTCAACCACCCAATGGTGGTTTTAGCACCACTATGTTTGTTTCTATAAATATCAGCAGTACTTTTAATTATTTTAGTGGGAATTGTTGAGATTTAACTTAAAAATTAAAAATCTCACATCAATTATGAATTATAGGGCATATTACGTAATGGAGAACAAAATCTTATCAATAACATTACCG